GCATACAAGTGGATTCTCAGCTCAGAGGGGTAGATTGCTGACTCGCTATCCTTTGTAACACTGATTTAAATTCAATGTACATTCTGCAAACCTAATATCTGCAGTGAACCACACAACCATGAATCTTCTGGGGTTTCATTCTGCATTTTACTTTCATCGCTATCACTGTCATCCAAATTACATTCAGGATCACTAAATAATACATCACTGTCATCACACTCATCTTTCAAAACATTTTCAGTCATGTACACTGCACATATTACCGAACTTAATGACACAATGTTGGTCCAAATGAAAAAGGTATTTATCTACCGCACATAGATATAAATATTTCGTAAAACAATGAAGACACATTGAAAGGGAATGTCCACTACACGCATTTAAAATCATTGTTGCATCAATTTATCTTATCACATAACATGTTCCAAGAGTCATCATTTTCAGGTACTCAAGGAGTTCAGAAGAACATTGAGAATATCATCCAGCAGATCCCTTCCAAGTTCACTGGCGATATCCGAAGTGAAGTACATGAATATTGGTTCTGTAAACCTACAAATGACTTTCGAGCTGTAGAACAAAATGATAGTAAATAGATCCCAAGGGAAAAGGTTAAAAGTGGTACACAAATGTCAGAAGGGAACATTGTGAAAACATCTACATAACAACCTCAATAGTCGACAGTCATGAAATGCTCTGCCAATTTCTGCCAAAGGCTTTGAGAAAAAACATACAGCAATTTATTCCACATATAATCAATTTAAAAAAGTGATCTGCAACTGTATAAAATCTTTAACATGCAGGATGAATAATCAACACTAGTGAAACAGCATTAATTCCATGCATAAACCCAATTCCATGAGAGCCATGTTAATGAATGCTTCGCACACAGAGCTCTGGAAAACTTAAAGTTTGAATAAAGCAGTACTCATTTTACTTCATTTCCTCTAGGTCACCAAACAAGGCATAATGATAAGGAAACATTAGAAACCCAAAACGTTAGTTTGCTTTAAGTATCTCAATAGACTGACATATAGTTCCACCTCAGTCGGTCACTTCCTTGATTATTGAAATAGAATAAGTTATTTACAGGTTATTCTACATGGATGTCATGGAATGAAATTTTATTCCATTTAAAACTATTTCATGTGTATATTTGGAAAATAAAACATGGGAGGAATATTAAAAGGAATAGGCATCTATGTCTTAACATTCTGAATATTGCAAAAAGTTAAAATCCTTAAAATGTGTTTCCAAATAATAAATAAATTAGCATCACGAGATTCTCCGTCTACCAGAGGGCGCAGTTAATGAATTGCATGTCTAAGTTTCATTACGGCACATTTAATATTGTAAACTGAAAGTCTCTAGTATTCTAAGAAAGTTAGAGAGTTCAGAAACCACTTATTCGTTCCACACGTTTGCAAATGTACACTTATATTTCACCATTAGAACAAATTCTGTATTTTATGACAGTTTGCATGCTCAGTTACTTTACAGCAAAATATTAGAGATCATCTTCAAGTGCTCATCGAACAATGCATGTCATAGCAGGAATTCGGCCTGTTGATTTACAAAAGGGAAGCACAGTGTGGCAATAGCAACTCTGAAGAAAGAGAATGAATCAAACAACACGGAGAGAAATGTTAAGTTCATACAATTAATCACGTAGTAGATTAAGCCATAAACTATAGTATATTTTGAAAGAACAAAGTGCTTAATCACGTTCAGGACACTACTGTTTAGTTAAACACACTATTATACCTATAGTAATGTTCACTAAACAGGTTGTAATCCAAGACAAATTGCATTTAGAGAAGATAACTAAACAAATCGTTGGGTGTACATTGAGTAATATACAACTACACAAATAGTTGCTTTTGATAAATTACACGAGTTGCTGAGTAAGCCCTATTAAGAAGAAACGTGAAAGGGCATATTTTCTTTCTTTCAGCTATGTAGCAAATAGGGTTCCTGAGCTGCCATCCATCCAATGCCCCCATGGGCTCATACTACCTCTTTTACCTAGCAGACCCTAGCCAAGCAGAATGCAGGCTGCCGACGTTCGGCTACCGGCTGTATTTCTACAATTAGTTTAGACTACACATATAATTAAAATCAATAACATTCTGAAAACGTTTACACAGCGTATAATACTGTAATCAGTGTTGATTTCTCACAGTTTACAAGGGCTCTATAACCATTCGAATTCATCAGATTTCTGAGAATGCATGGTTACTTAGCAGTGTTTAGTTAGCATGACGATATGGCGTAGTAGATCTCACCGAATGATTTTGTCTACAAAAGAAGAATAGTACCACTGACAATTCTCTTTCACATACGCTTTCCAATTGTCTGATTTACTAAATGAAACTAAATCATGTTTAGTGAATCTTACAACACAAATAATTGTATTTATTATATGATCGCTTACTCAACATGTTTAGTACACTGTACTACAACACTTCTCTCAGTGAAATAAAGGGGAAGTTCACGTGGCATGTGTTGATTTGTTTATATGAGCATCTTATTTGGTACAATTGATTACGTCAATGCCTGCGGAGTGCCACAATCAAGGCGAGATTTCAGTACTGTGGGGAGCCGAAGCACAAAATCACATATCTCTCTTCCAGTAAAAATCCTCCAAATAATAAAAAAAAAGTAGAATGATTAAGAATTACTTTAGAGATGCACTTCTGATTTTTTCCCCGGATCATGTATCCCCGTGGATGAGGAACTCTATGCAATTGCTTTTTTTCCTAGAAGATAAATTTGGCTGTCTGTGGTGCAACAAACGGGCCAGCTCTCAGACTCAATCCCCGACTTTCACAGGAAATAGAAGAACGTGTAGGTTATTCGTTGTTCCTATTCGTTTTTGGTGATCCCCGAAACCTTGGCGTTCCAATTTTATATCTCAATAATGGATTTTCTTTTCATTAAAAAAAAGGTTTTCTTGTTTTTGACTTGCGACTCCATTTCAAAAAAATTAAATATCAAAACACATTCATAACCATTTTCCATATGATAATTCGTTAGTAGATTCAAAAGTGTAAGAAATCACAGACATATGAGAAAAAGACAAAAAATTTGAATAAAATTCAAAAACTTATATTATGTTCTAATTGTTTTAAATAGCGAGTACTTTTGATTTTAAAAATTCAAAACATAATGGTACTAAAAACTTGCAATGTAATGAAGAAAAGTTTTTTGGATGAAAGGGATAGTTGGAGTTACAGAGTTGGAAACTAGTAGAAACATTTTGTGTGAGAATCATTGTTGAAAGCGTTTTACATTTCATCTCTGTGTCAGTTTTTGATCTCCAGACCCGGATAGAATCTTTCTAGCTTCATTTAGGTTAAATACTTTCTTGTGGCACGTACAACTGCTGGTACGAGAGGGCACTACCAGTCAAGGGTTGACTGCAATCATTTACATTGCGTACTTAAGGAAAACCAGGAAATACCATGATCTGTAACCAGGAGTGGGCATTCTCCATCACTACACATGTCAACGTCATCGTTATGCATTAGGTTTATGCACAAAATGTTTATTACTTAGTTCATAGTCAGTGGTCCACCAGCAACATGAGACTTAACGGGCCAATAAAATAACAAGCCATATGCAGTCCAGCATGAGAGGTTGAATTCATTAGGCTCAACTGGAGAATGGTAGAATATTGTCATTGACAATAAGAGCAGTAAGCCGCGAGATATATCTTGGTAACATTAACAAAAAAGGAGGTCCAAATCGCACTTTATGGTCACAGTGTTTTTTGTTTGTTTCGCAAGGTCTAAAGCACACTGTAGAAAGAAAAGAAAATGAAACCTCTAACTTTGAACCAAAATTTGATATTGATTTCCTTTTAGAAAGATGCTGCAATGTCTTCCAACGAATTATACGAACACTAATGAAACATTTGTAGTAGGGTGTTGAATTTAGTTTTAAAAAACATTGATAAACTTAAATAAAACTCGTACAACATTCTTTTTAATATCATTCAAGACCATGTCAGCACTGCAAATTGAAGCAAGAAATACATTTGGAAATTTTTTTTCCCGGTAGCTTTTTTGTCTTTAACCATTTTGGCTCATCAGAAACAGAATCGTTATAATTTAGGTGTATGTCAATACAGTAGCAAAAGGTAATAAATTCATAAATTACCAATTTCATGTACATTTTTAATAAAAATGTTGATTTAATTTTTTTATTGCAGACCGGATTCTCCGCGTACAATAAACTTTAATTGCAAATATGAAAGTCGACAGTCCTCAATGGGCAATATGACTATTCACAAACCCTCCAACAGAACGCTCCAAAGATCCGACATCGAAACTGTGTCCCTGGACAGCTTTTCAGAATCGGAGGAAACAGTAAGAGTGACAGAAAAAGCACATCATTACGTGTTTCTTTGTTATGAAGAAATGCTTGAGAGAGTTAGAAAATGGGCTGATACTGAACTTCAGACAAAATGAGTTTAAGCATTAGTGAGACTCTGTATTACAGGGAATTGTGGGACGCAACGTAAAGAAATAAGAGTAAGGAAGACAAGGAAAACCACATTTATCATCATATGCTATAAGTTAATAGTTAATACAAAAAGGTGACAAGATAACCATAAGTAATCACATATCCATTCATCCTAGATTAGATAATTTAACACTACATTGAACAAGTACTAGCAAAATATTAACATTTAAAGAACAGTCATAATTCATCAGAACCTTGTATAATGATTCAATTTGAGAAATATTTCACTAGACCAATTTTATCACTCGTAATATTAAATAATTTTTAATAGGCATTTTTTTAAAAAATAAAGTGTCCATGGAAAGTTAAAATTTGTTCTTTACATTTTGTGTCCCCCTTTTTTTATGAGTTACTGCTGTGCTCAGATCACACAGGACAAAATAAACGGTTCACAAAACTGCATTCAAGAATTGTAATCACTCATTTACACAGCTCTCCATGGACCCTTAAAACATGCTGTACAAAACAAAAATTACCAGTGGGCAGAATTGCGCCAGGTGTAATATTCCGGGCTGCCGAAACAACATTGATAGCTGGCTTTGGAGGCCTTCCTCTTGGGGCTCTAACAGATACGCCAGCACCTGGGCTAGCTGAAGTGCTCGCTACAGCAGGCCTAACACTGTTAATTACTGTAGGAGCAGGCATCCGAGCATTTGCTGTGAACACAGAAAATTCTAGAAATAAGAAAAAAGGCATTTTCCCCCTACAAACTTTCATGTACATACTGCTACATACACACACACGCACGCACGCACGCACATGCACACACACACTAAACCACTTCCCATTTCATTTTATTTATTTATTTGTTATTATTATTATTATTGTACAGACAAGATAATCCATTATTTACAAAAAGAATGCAATAAAAAATTTGCATGTAGCAGCATATTTATAAAAATAGAAACATAAAGTAAAACATTCAATAACACAAAAATATATCTGGTATAACAGTAGCTCTACCACGCCTACCGATTCACATTTCAAGATTTTGTTGCTCGCTAATGATAAAAAAGCTGAACATAATCTGGTTTTGCAAGATTTTGCAATCGACGGCATAGTACAGATCTGGGCTCCAGCTATTTCCATATTTTCTTTACACCTAAAGGTATTCCTGTACGATCAGCATTTCACAGGATCACTGTGACGCATAGTTGCAGATGGGCATCAAACATTAGTACGTATCCCACGCGGCAGACATCCCCAACACACAGATACAAATGTCTCCATGGAAAGAAATGTCCCAATTTTGGTTGTGATGAAAGAAAATAGTTCAACATGTGCTGTACCTTGTTTTTCCACGCAACTGTATTTCTATTGATGATCTACGGAAACCTACTTTTTGGATGGGCCTCGTAGGTATTAAATATGTAACACAAGTATACAAGAATTAAATGATATGCACAAACATCGCCACACCATTTGGGCAGCCAGACGTAATAAATATCCAACTCATACTAAAACTCCATGATATCATTTGGATCCAACGAGGACCATTAGCACATTATACAATAAATTCTTGAAGCTACAATTAAGTTTACAGATATCTAATGGTTATGTCCTACTTAATGTTATTTGAAGCCAAATAGCAAGAAAAGCATTTTTTAAATCCTTTTTTTAATTTCCCAGAATTGTCGTTAAACTACTGACTGTACACCATTAAACAAGTTATGTTAAACAAGACTGTACAAGTAACAACTACAGTTCTGTCAGTCAACAATACGGAAATTCAATTTCGCAGTACAAAAAATTAATTTAGTTATTTAGCTCACAATTACACTATTTCCTACAACTATATTTACCAATAAAAACACAATAATGTACCTGGTGCAGTTGGGGCCCAAGTTGTTATCTTGTTTGGTGCCTTTGGCATTAAAACTGCAGGAGAAGTAGGTTGAGGTAATAAAATGTTCTTGGCAGGCGGAGCAGCAGCTATTGGTTGGGTTCTAGGAGAGTTTTTGGTGATACTGGTCTGTAAAAACATGAACAATTTTAATTTATCATTTAAATCGTATGCAGTTTAAATTAAAATTTGAAAAGTTCAACTGCACAAGAAACAAGTTAAAAATAAAAAGGCACAAAAATTAGTTCTAGAGTCTTTGTTTTATACTATGAAACAAATAAAATAGATTAGTTTTAAAGTATACATCAATATATTTGAAATACAAGGGAACCATATTAAAAGAAAATACAAATTAATATTGGTAGCCCAATGTATGAATTATAGGCATCACCATTTGTATTAGAGTCGCAGAAGTCACTTGAGCTGTAGTTTCCCTTATGTTGGAGACTAGCTTACAGCAGACTTGTTCCAAAGAAATTCCACCACCACCACCACCACCACCACCACCACTACTAGGAGAACTAGAGGTAGAAACGACAATTTTTCCTAAGATAGGAGCCACTGATTACATTGCCGGAAACGACGGACAAAGGCTGCATAGGAAGGGAATTCAGCCTGCCAGAAATACTTTTCAGGAAATAACCCAGATCACCCATTACAGAAATTTCTCTCTTAAGAGAGCGGTCAGGGAGAGAACGGGCCGAACTATCAAAATGCTATTAAAATCGACGTCGAGCCGATCCCGGAAATGCGACCGCCAAATCTGAAACTATTGCAAGAGCAGGACAAAATAATAGGCAGGGCTAAGAAATTTTTGAAGGGCGAACTAAATGATGAAGACCGACTATACGCCATACTTCAGAGCGACAATACAGCGTTCAAATTGTCGGCCGATTTGGTGTTATTCAGGACCACGAGTGAGCCCGAACCGCAGTACAGAATTTGGATACCGGCCGCTATCACTAAGAAGCTGACGCTTCATTTACAGCAAAATTATGGTCACTATGGCAGTAAAAACATTTTAACCATCATTCAATCGTTCGCGTATCGAAAAATATGACTAGGGATATTAGGGTTATTATTGCTAAATGTGCGTTTTGCCAGAAAACCAAATATCCGAACTGTCATTATGCGAGGCCAATGGAGCACGTTATTCCCCATGCACTAGGTCAACTAGTGTGTTTGGATTTATATGGGCCACTGCCTACCGCCCGTAACGGGTTATGGTGATATGTGATGCTTTCTCTAAATTCACGCACTCATACCTAATCACTAGACCGACAGCGCATAATTGCTTGCGAAAACTGACGCAGGAATATTTTCAAGAGGCAGGGCAAAGCAAAAGAGTGCTATCTGATCACGGCACACAATTCTCTGGGAGCCCCTGGCGGTCAACGTTAGAAGGGTTAGTTCGCGTAATTTTGTCGTCCATCAGACATCCTCACAGCAACCTCAGTGAGTCATGCGAGAATTATCACACTTGTTCAGGATGTACGTGACAGAGAACAACATGAGATGACCGAAAGTACTGCCACACATCAATTGATGGATTAATCGGAACTCTAAACTTCGAGGGCAGGTTCTTTACGCTAACTTGAACAGGGCCGCCGAGAAAAGCTGGTAAAGAAATCGCATAAGTTCAAGATCGGCGACAAAATGCTTCTACGCACACCTGCTACGTCAGATGCGCCAAAGGGGCTGTTCGCTAAGTTTTCCCCGCGGTTTGCTGGTCATTTCACTATTAAAGGAAACCCGCACCCCAATATTTTCGAACTCGCCGGAGACACCGGTCAACCAGCAGGGAAGTACAATTCATTCAACCTAGTTCGTTTTCGTGAATGAATTGTTGTATTATAAGTTGTTACTTGATTTGTTCGTAGGGTTTTGTTATTAGTATTTTATAGTTAAGTTGTCTGATGTTCTGGTTAGTTTTGGATTTTTTGTGTATGGATTTTATGCGACTCTACCGCACATCGTTTGTTTTATTTGTCCATCGTTGCCTTCGTTAATTATTTAATTGCCATTTTAATTAATGATTTTATCGCTAATGCGTTAGTTGTGTGGCATTTATTTTCTCTTAGTGAGAATTATTTAGTAGTTATTTCATGTAGGAGGGATTTTATTCTTCCCGATCCTTAGTGTTGTGTGTGCGTCGACACTCCTTTTGCTCCCGTCGCCATTATTTGTTTTGGAGCCATGAAACCGTTGTTGCTCGCAGATTTCACAGCTAGGCGGTGGACGGGGTGAATGTAAGGGGACGGTCGCACGGCGTCAGGTGGCGACGCGTATTTTATAAAATTACATTGAGCATAACGCGAGGAGGCTGAGAAAGACGCGAGGAAACGCGCTGTTTGTCGCTACCTGCGTGTTTTTTGGGACGCTGTGGAATCCAGCCCCATTGTTTCGGCGCAACTCGCGCCAGGACACACCCTGCGACTAACGGGGGAAGTACGGACACTGCCCCACCGAGCAACACACCGCCGCCGAGCCTTTTCTCGGAACTCGGATTTCGCAGAATTTGGCGAGGCGCGGGCGTCCGCCAACGACGCCTCGATAGGTCGGAAGAAACTGCGTGACGCGCGCCCGCCAATCGCGGGAAATGAAGCGGGGAAGTGTCCCGTGACCCGCGAAGTCTACGTGGTGAATTAACGAGGCTACTCGTTCATTCTGTTTTCTTCGTGCAGCCATCAACATTCTGCTTTATGCACTCAGCGCTCAACATTCAGCTTTCCGCCTACAGCGTTCAACGTTCTGTTTTTGGGCATTCGGTTTTCAACATTGGCATTTTGCTTCAACTCACGGGGGAGGGGGGACGCTAGCGGATGCACTGCCGCCGCGCCGCCGCCCGAATGCCTTGCCTCATCGCACATCACCGACTGGGACGTGATTATTTGAACAATCGCAGTGGGCCATGCAAATAAGTGCCCGACCGCGAGCTCAGAGTGACGACGGGTCGGGGCGCGATTGACGCGACCATGAGACGCGCCGCCAACGCCCGGACCGGCGCCGGTGGGCCGCCGACCGACGCCGGGGCGCAGGACTGCCGCTCCCGCGAGCCGGATCATGGCTGCCCGGCACGCAAAGATGAACTCTGACCAGTACGACCGTGAAAGATACTAGTTCTAAGTTAGTTTGTAAAATTAATTTCAGCATGCGGCCTCACCTCGATCACAAGACAGGATCATTAAAATCAATTTTTTAAACAAAATGTTTTGTGGTAATATTAGAATAGCCCTATCATGCATGCCTTCCTCTACGGTGTCTACCGATGGAGCAGCTGGGGCGACGCTGAAGTCGAGGAAAATCAGGTAATCAAGTGAGTCGGGGGTAACCACACGGAGCAGAGGTGGTGGTTACAATAAATATACTTATATACACATTGTTTAATTTAACGCACAAGCCATGTCTGGAAACATCACCCTTTATTTTAGCAATCTGGCAACAAATGAAATACTTTTGGGATCTCTTTCACTTTTAGCGACCAACGGCCGCGTGCCCTCAGATTTCGGAGTGAGAGAAAATGAGGAAAGAAAGTCTGTCCTTGTCAGTCTTCAACGTACTGCAACCACTACACTGAAGAGTGTAAACGCCTGTGCAAATGGCGGTCACTTTGACCATTTACTCAGCGGTCAGTGTTTTGTCATTTTAAGTAAATTATATTTTATTATTTTGTATTATTTTCAATAATTATTTATTTAATACTCATTTACGTTTTATTGGTATTTTTTAATAATTTTATTAACGCTTTATTTGCTTAATAATAAGATTCAATAATAAATTGTTTTAAATAATGGAGTTTGGCGGTAATGTTTCACGAGATATCTTCCTGATTTCTCTGAGCCGACTTTCATTAATGATAATTATGATTACGTTGGTGTTAATAAATTGATAAACAGTCATAACTTTCCACCACATCTTCAGTATTAGTTTTATTTCTTAATCATTCTGGACAGAATCGCCTAAAAAGGCGTTGTTTCTAGCTCATATCCCTGGTCACCCCTTCCCACCTACCCACTCTGTGCAGCGCGAAAAGCTTCCGGAGTGTGAGCCGCGTACCTGCCCCCAAAGCTCTCGAAAACGAGAAACAAAAAAACAGGAAAGTTGTTGCAGCTTATGACCTGACGGTCGCCTTGAATGTTGTCTCGACTTTGCGAGAAGTTGCTTGAAAGATGAAAAAAAAACAAAAAAACACGCGGTTGCTAAATTGCCAAAACAAGTGACCTCAGTCATGGGTAGCGAGTTAAGCTGAAGGCCCTGCATATATTGAAATACAGGTGCCCGCGGAGGAAACTTCGAAAATAAGACCTCTTAAAGCATATTTTGTCAAATAAACTACGTGGATATTCCGAATGTCTCAGCCGCAATAAGCACATAAAAGTTGGTTTGAAAAAATGGTTCCTAGGCAAAAATATAGTTTTATGATATAATAGTGATTCAATAGTTATAAGTAAGGTTTTTATTCTGCCATTTTAAGACCTTCCTCAGACAGAAAAGCGCAGATGGGCCATCTTGATGTTTTTGGTGCGTGCCTTTGGGGGAGCTCGGATGAGCACTGATGTCGTGGTTGCGATGGTTTTGCTAGTTTTCCTGTTCGTGAGGGCGATCGGGACCATGGCCCCCGTTTGGGGATGCCTCAGCGTCAGGTGGGTTGTATCTGCACTACGTGGTAGGCGCTGTTGTAACGTAGCGCACAGATCGGTTCTTTAAAGAAACGTGTTTGGATGGAAATTGATCTAAGTACAGTTGAAAGTAAAAGTTTTATTAAAGAGGCGGTCAGTCCGCGGAGTTTTAAGTTAGTTTTTTATGGTGATCGGTGTCGGGCATTCGCTCATTTGGCTTGGGTCTGTCTTAGAAAGAAAGGGTCGAGAGATAGATCTGAAAAGGAGCGTCCTATTTCTTTTTTTTTCTTTCCTTGATCGTAGATGTCTTTTTATGGCTCAGTCTTTCTCGTGTATTGTACAGTACGCAATGGCGGATTCTGGTCGGAAGGGCATACGAATAAACCTTTTTTCCTGCGGTGGTCCAGGCTATGAAAACGTACCGGTGACCTGTAGAAATGAATCTTGGTTCACGTAGCGTATTTGTTTGCAAACTGCGCTAGGCGTGCAATTATTTCGCACATCTGTTGT